AAAATATATATAAAGCAAAAAAAATTAATATTAAATTTTTATATTACACATCATAAGTTGTGCTCGACGTGATTTTATGTTTTCAAATTCATCTTCACCTTCACTTATTAAAAAATAAAAAGTGTATCCATTAAATTAAAAGTACATAACAATAACTTACCTACAATATCCTTTATAAATCCAAATATTACTAATATAAAATAAATATAAAAATTAAAATTGAATTGGGATTTGAGAATTAAAAAACATTACCTATAAATTACGATAGATTAATAGTAAGTGTTAAGGATTTTAAAATTTGTGTGAGTTAAAAGGTTTAATACAATTATTTGGTTTGGATAAAAAAACTATTTCAGTGATTCATGAAAAAAGAAAATAGAAAAAAATTACAAATTGTGTGCCTAGGAAAAACAACAAAAAAAGAATTTGGGTTTAGGAAGCGTTGTACCAGGCTATTAAAGTCAAAATTAAATGACTTACCATTATTTTAGATTAATTTGTTTGATTTAAGGGTTAATTTGATATACTAGCAGTGTACATACACTATCAATTCATCAAAATGTGACACCTCATTAATGAGGTAAAATACAAAATCTTAAAATTAAATATTAAAAGTTTATAATGATTAATTAAATAAAAAATATTTTCACTTTTCTATTTCTCTCTATTATTCTTTTTCTTGTTCTCATGTTTTATGTGTCTTCAACTCCATCATTTGCTTTTCCTCTTCTTCCTTTAAAATTAAATTTTGCAAAATTTTACAACTTCAAGAGCAACTTTTAGATTCTTTTTTTACTTTTTTTGAAACCATAATAGAGAGATTGATAACACTTATCTTTAAAAAAGTGAGAAAAAAAGATTTAAATATATAAATTTTATAAACAAAATTTCGTTAAATTAACAATTTTGCTTCTAAGTAACAAAATTAAGCCAAAAGTTGTTCTTTTTCTTTGAAGTCATATCACACTTCCCTTTCTCGTGGTGTTGTAAAGGGAAATTCACTTTCACTCAAATAGTTAATTTTGAAATCCTTGTAAAATGGTTAGTAATATCCTATCAAATATGATTGATTTTCATTTAAAACATTGAAATCGTGAGGTTTAGTTAAAAATTAAAATGTTTATATAATATATCATACAAACAATGATTTTTGTTTAAATACAAGAAAACATGTGATTTAGTTTAGCATCTCAAGTTTAAATTTATTAGTATTTTGGGTTTTAGTAAAATGATAAACTTAAATCTCAAAAGAATTTTGATTTTGAAGGAATTTGAAATTTTATGAGTGCATTCAAAGGAAGAAAAAACCTAATGCCCGTGAAAAAGAACAATTTTGGACTTAATCCTGTTGTTTATAAGCAAAATTGTTAACTAAATAAAATTATACTAATAAGATTTGTTTATTTGAATCTAGTTTCCGCAATATGTAAAGAATAAGAAAATATTTATTTGAATCTAGTTTCCTCAATATGTAAAGAATAAGAAAATATTTATTTGAATCTTATTTTCTCAATCTATTAAAAAGAAGAAAAGAATCTAAAATTGTTTTAGAAAGAAATAGAAAAGGGGAGAACAAGGAAAAAAACGGTTGACAGAGATTGAAAAGTGACAATATTTTATTTTTTATTTAATTAATTATTATAACTTTTTAATATTTAATTTTAAGTTTTTAAAAGTTTTTTTAGTTTACTTCATTAATAAAGTGACACATTTTGATGAGTTGATAGGATATAAAGATTATACATAATCTATGTATCAAATATAAATCTTTTTATATGAGATGGTAAAATTATATATTTTTAATATTATATACATAAAAATAAAAAAAAATTAAAAACTGAAAGGTGATGATCACCCTCTCCCTCCATCACTGCTTGTATCCCTAATTGTTTGTTATTCTATCTACAATTTGCTATTAAAAATAAAAGTTAAATTATAGAATTAGTCTCTATACAATATAAAAAATATGGATTCAGCTCATAAACAATAATTTATATAAACTGAGTTCTTGTGCTTTTTCATTATGTTAATTTTAATTTTTAATGTTAATATTGTTAAAATTTTACCATTAAGTATACTGATATAATATTTTGACCAAACTAACATGACATTTCTCGTTAATGCAGTGCTAACTGTGTACTGACATGGCAATTACTTGGCAAATATAAAAAAAAATCAATTATTTTAGTCTAAAATAAGAAAAATTACAACATTTAATCAAACTGCAGAAAAATGAAATGGGTATATCTAATCAAAGTCTCTACTCTGTTTTATCTAAAGGGACTTGAAAAATGAATTGTGGCTGAGATTTTAGAGAAGGAAAAAGAAAAAAAAAAAAGAGATTGTTTTTTTGTTGGAAGAAGTTTCCTTTCTCCAGATTACCTTAAAAATAAAAAAAGAGAAGTACATTTATTATCCTTATAAAAAGTCCTTCTAACAAGCAAGAAAAATGGAGCAAAGCTTGTAAAGAATCGCCTGAAGAACACTTGAAATAAATCCATCAACCAAATTATCAAGTTGTTTGGCGATATACCCGATGTGTATGCTAGTTCTAGATTTTAAGCCAGCAATTGGTTCTATTTTGACCATACCTTCCCTAAATATTGGTGGGAGGGTTATGTTAGGTTGATGCGAAAGTTGCTCCAAACTCTAAGCCTGTGGGTACGGTTATGATAGGGATGTGCAAATAGTTAATTCAGTAAAATCGATTTTAAAAATTTTAAAATTAAAAAATTAAATTTTTTAAAAAAATTAAAATTGAATTGAAGTAGTTTAATAATTGAAAAATTGAGCACCAAACTACTTTAATTAGCTCGGTTCGATCACCTAATCCCAAACTCATGAAGATGGAAGGAAAAAATGTAAGGACGTGACATTTTTTATAAGATCTCATGTTGAGATTTATTTTGTTTTATTTTTTTAATTGTTGAGCTTTTCTTTTATTTTGTTTGTTTAATTGAATAATAAAGAATGAAGAATTTTGTTTTGTTTTTTGAACTCAAAGCTCACTTGTCTTCTTTTAAATATTATTCAATTCAATTGGTTTGGTTATTTCGGTTAGAAAAATTTAAAATAAGAAATCAAATCGATTAAATCATTCTAACCAAAATTAATTAATCAAGTACTGAACTAATCGAATTATAAAAACCGAACTAACTCATAGGTTTTGATTTCTTTGTTAAATTATGCAATTAATCCTTATACATTGACAAAGTGATGGATCTACTCTCTGGGCAATACTTTATAAATATTGAGTTTCTATATATTTGAAAATTGAAATTGTCCATCCAATTATTAACAATATTGAATTTTTTGTATTATTCATGGTCATAAGATATTTTTTTATTGATATGATATTAAATATAATAATCTATTAATGATGATGTGATATTTTCTATCTATTTCATAATTTTAAATTATGAAGTATAAAGATTCAATTCTTCTTTATCTCAAAACACTCTTTCCCTAAATCTCAAAAACTTATTCATATTTTTGATTTGTTTCTTCTCCAATATTATTTAAAACTATTAGCTCATATTGGATAATTCCATGTTTACATTTATAATATCCATATTAGTGTTTGGTCATACTATATCAACATCCTTATTACATCATTTGTAAAATATCGCATCATCATTATCATGTCATCAAATTCAATATTATATCAACAAAAAAATGTAACATTAACATAATTATATGTCATATCAACATAAATAATATAAAATTTTTAGTATATTAGACTAATATTGTTAATTTTAGAAAATATAGAGACTCAATTTTTACAAATTATTATATAAAAACTAAATCTACCATTTTAATAAAGTACAAAGACTAATTATATAATTTGACCTTGATTTCTTGCTGCTAAAAAAAGTGTGAATATGTTTATTAATCTTTGTACCATTTCATCAACCTATTTGTAACATCTATATATTATTTTGAAGTAATATGAAAATTTAATTTCAAAAAACTCTTTGTCAGCAATTGCCACGTTAGCAATTTTGTTATGTCAACAAGTTTTAGGTCAACATTTTTGCCATGTTAGCACATAGTAATCGCCATATCAATAAAAAATCATCGCATCAATTTAATTAAAATGTGGCTTTAACATATCTAATAGTAAAAATTTAATAATGTTAGAGTTAGAGTTAAAATTAATAAATTGAAAAAGTACAAGCACTCAATTTAACCAAATTATTGTATATAGATTAAATCTACATTTTTTATAAAGTACATAAAATAATTACATAATTTAATCCAAAAACAAATAATCAATCAAACAAAACATTCGCACTATTTTAAAATTTAGTAAAATACTCCTACTCTTAGGTTTTGACCATAATTCACTCTTAATCTATTAATATTGAAAATAAACATTTCACTCCAAATTTTCAAATATCGTTAATAGATTTTAAAATAACTAAAATGCCCACATTATATAATTTGTTATCGTTAGTATTGCCTTCTTTCATTTTTGCCTTCCACTTAACTAAATCTTTAGTCACATTATTTATCACGTAGTAATGTTATCTATCAAAATAATATGTTAATATGTCACGCCATTAACATGTGGCATTATACTAGCAATCATAACTTGATTAATCGTAGTTGGTTAATATTTAGATAAAAAACTTATTTAACGAAAATTCAAAAAATAAATACTTGATTGGATATAATAAAAAATAATTTATTATTTTTTTAGTTTTATGTCTTAAAATATTAATCTTTAAAAATTAATAAAATAAATATATTATTTATATTTAAATAGATTAGTTATGTTTAAATAAAGCAATCATGTGAGTTTTAAATAAATTAATTATGTTAATAATATTATGCTTGAACAGGTTAATTGCTTTGCGCTGTCTAAGCAAGTTAATATTTAAAAACCGTGTTACCTTGTGCAACTTGTTTAACCGGTTGTTAAAAGACAAAGTGCAAGCACTTTGACGTAAATACCCTTACTGAACGCAGTCGGCACTCGGCATCCTGGGCAGCTTAAAAATAAGTTCGGCCTCCATTGTGAAGTGTGGAGAAAATCTGCTACTGCCCTAAAAGCAAAATAAAAAAAATGGAGAATCCCATTTTAGCGTTTCTCGAATCCAAACTCTTCAATAAACCTTCGGCTCCGAATCCTTCTAGTAAGTATTACATTTGAACTTTTTGTGGGTAGTTTTCTCTAAAGATTTTGTTTTTTTTTTGCTGGATAATGTCGATATTTTGCTTCATGTTTTAAAGAGTTTGGGCTTTTTATCTTAGGTGTAACTAATTTCTCTTAATGCGTTTGAAAAATGTTTGGTTGATTAGATTTTTTTATTTTAATTTTTGCTGTTTTTGGGTGTTTGGAATGGTGTTAATTCTGCTAGGGTTTTAAACTTTGATGGTATCTACGGTTAATGATCATTTATGTTTAATTAACTACATAGAAATATGGGTTTAAATAGTTAGAACTATAAAAATCTTGAATATTTAAAGTTTTCAATGTTATAGTAAGACTTGAGGGACTTGAGGAAATCTCAACTAAAACTTAATGTTAATTTAAACCTATTTTAGCATTTTTGGGAAATTTAAAATGCCATTTTTTTGGCTGCTTAAAAAGGGGACTGTACTTTTGGAAGGTCTTTGCAACGGATGACGCTTGGCAAATGTGCTTTGTGCCCGGCAAGCCAAGAGTCGAGTGACTATGCCTATTAAGGAAGAATAAGCAAATAGGGAAAGGAGGTGAAATGGCAGATAACCATCTTTTTATTTGGATGTTATTATAGAAGGCTAGGAAGGGGAAGGTGTAAAACTAGCTACCATTCCAAGTTGGAAAAGAGTGAGGATATAAGGTTAATATTGAACACAAGAGGGAATCATAAGGGTAGAATTTGAAAAATAATCTGACAGTAAAGATAGGCTTCAGTAGTGTAAGCGTATTGAAGAGTTTGCCTGTTTAGAAGTGAAAGAACTTTCCAAATCTCTTTCCCTTTTCCTTTTCAGAAGCTTCCAAACATTGCTCCAATACTGCCCCTCTGTTCCTGTCAACACAAATGACCGAAAAGTATCTTTTCTCCATTAGTTTCACCCAAGTGGGCTGTGAATTTTTGTGTATGAAACATTAAAATAGTCAATGTAGGCTGCTTTTACTGTCCTTTTGGAATTGTGGTATTTTGGGTATTTCTCTCATTGAATTAAGTTTAAGTGAATTACGCTTGAAGATAGAGATACTTCATTCTTATTCAACTTACACTTAAAAGCTTTATGTTAAGCTCTATTATGCACCTTTGATATTCTGTATCGTGTTTTCATAATTTTTGTCTAAGATCATTTTTTGGTTAAATTCATGTTACATAGTTTAATTTACTTGGCTTGCTTATAAGCAATATTTTGATTGAGTCTATTGCCTTTACTTATTTAAAAGTAGGCACTCCTTACTAATTTGTGCATTGATTATGTTTAGGGGCTCCAGAACCCTTGATGCATAAGAATCGTTTGCAGGAGCATACTCAAAGATCATCCATACCGCTCCCAGTATATCAAACTACTAATGAAGGATCTTTGCATGCTCCAAGGTTTAGGTCTACTGTAGTAGTTGATGGAACAAGTTATTCTTCTCCGGATACCTTTTCACATAGAAAAGCAGCTGAACAAGATGCTGCCAAAGTTGCACTAGAGTGTATAACAAAGAAGATAAAAGATGAAGGATGTCCAATCATTCGTGAGGTTTGTTGCATTATATTGGAATTTTTGATTTTTTGGGTACAAATTACAACTACATCTTTTTCTTTATTTAAATGTTTGTGGGTCATTCATTGGGGTTTGTTTATCTTGCAACTTAGCTTGTCAAATTGGTACAACATTTGGTTCCTTTGTCTCGTATCTTGTTCCATGTTAAAGAAAAGGACAAAGTTTAAGGAAGGTATTTTGATTTTTGACTTTGATGGCATGAGATTTTTATCCTCAATTCTACGATTTCTTTATCTTTAGTAATTGTTTATGAAATATTATAGGAATTTTTTCTGTTGAGTATATAAACTTTGGAAGTGAGACAACAATATGATATGTGCAAATAAGTAAAGATGTTTCCCTGCAGAAAGTAAAAATGGGAAAGAAAAAAAGCGAAGCCCGTTAAGTTTTAGAAAATTTTTTCCATTTTCTATCTCCATATTTCCATTATAATTGATCCGCAAAATGAGAATAACAACTGAGGTTGGACACCTTTGTTTTCCAATTTCTAAGACATTGGTAAAATTAGTTTAAATTATTTTCCAAATTTTTAACTACATTTGAAATCCCTCTATTTTTGAGGAAGGTCATTTCATAATGAATGACCCTTTTCTTAATGTTCATATTTCGAGTGTAAATATAAATAGAAAATGGAAAATGTTTTATAAAATTAAACAAAGAAGATAAAAGATGAAGGATGTCCTATCATTCGTGAGGTTTGTTGCATTATATTGGAATTTTTGGTTTTTTGGGTGCAAATTACAACTGCATCTTTTTCTTTATTTAAATGTTTGTGGGTCATTCATTAGGGTTTGTTTATCTTGCAACTTAGCTTGTCAAATTGGTACGACCTTTGGTTCCTTTGTCTCGTATCTTGTTCCATGTTAAAGAAATGGGCAAAGTTTAAGAAAGGTATTTTGATTTTTGACTTTGATGGCGTGAGATTTTTATCCCTAATTCTACGATTTCTTTATCTTTAGTAATTGTTTACTATTTAGTAGGAAATATGATAGGAATTTTTACTGTTGAGTAGATAAACTTTGGAAGTGAGACAACAATATGGTGTGTGCAAATAAGTAAAGATGTTTCCCCGCAGAAAGTAAAATGGGAAAGAAAAAAAGCGAAGCCCATTAAGTTTTAGAAATTTTTTTCCATTTTCCATCTCCATATTTCCATTATAATTGATCAGCAAAATGAGTATAACAACTAAGGGTGGAAACCTTTGTTTTTGAATTTCTAAGATATTGGAAAAATTAGTTTAAATTATTTTCCAAATTTTTAACTACATTAGAAATCCCTTTATTTTTGAGGAAGGTCATTTCATAATGACTGACTCTTTTTCTTACTGTTCATATTTCGAGTGTAAATATAAATAGAAAATGGAAAATGCTTTATAAAATTAAACAGCCTTAAATAGTTTCATTTTACTTGTTTTATAATGTTTTGCTAAATTCTTGGTGGCTGGTTTTCTAGGATACGGTATTCTGCAAGTCTATCTTGAACGAATTTGCTGTCAAGATGAATATGGAAATGCCATCCTATGATACCATTCAGTCAGAAGGATTGATTCCTCTTTTTGTATCCTCTTTAGTTTTTAATGGTGTGACTTATAGTGGCAAAACTGGTAGGAATAAAAAAGAGGCCGAACAATTAGCGGCACGTGCTACTCTCCTCTCTCTTCTCGGTATCTTTCTTTCTCTTCTTTTGAAAAACACAAACACACACATACATACACATATACTTACATTTACTTTGATTTCAAGCCACATATTAAGTAGTTGGACCAATAATGCAGATGATTCTAGGTATGGAACATTTCTTTCAGAGATTATCAAGTCCAAAGCTAAATTGTATGTCGCTTTAAATAAAGTCAAGGATTCAAGCATTTCTCATATTGGCACTACACTTGCTGGAGCAAACACATCGATACATAAGAATGAAGAGGTTGAAACTGCTCTAGTCACTAACAGTGTGTCAACTACTGCAATTCTACCGTCAAGCTCAGGGGCAAAACGTCCTCACCATGTGTTCAAAATTGAAAAATTAGAAGAAGGTTCTGAACATATTGATCTTCCAATTGTTTTTGTGCCTACAGCTGTTGCACAGTCTTCAGCTGTTGGTGAAAGCTCTTCAAGAAAGCGACGCAGGAAAAAGAAAAAGGCTAAATGTGTTGATACTCAGTAAGTTTTGGTTTGTCTTTCTCTATGTTTTGACTAAGGTTGTTTTTGGAAAAGATTTCACTGTATGTCAGTTGATTAGTTTTGGTGTATATAATTTAATTTGCATTATCACTTAGAGAATAATGTTACTTTATATAACTTTATTACTCAAAAGTTACCATTTCATGAAACCCCTTTCCTCCCTTTAAAGAATGATGTGTGGCTGTGTGTACAAGCATGTACTGAAATTTGCAAGTTCGTTGTTACTGGTATTTCATTGAATCAAGCAGTACCATGTTCAGTGGCCTCATGAACCTTGCTAATGGCCTCCTGTTTTTTGTAGTGATTACTTCGTTAGGTTTAGTACAAACCTTGGTCTTGGTCTATGTAATATAAGATGTATACCATTGTAGCATAGCAGCTGATTGACTGTATTTCTCTGTTCTATTTTCTGTTAACTTGAACCTCAGCCCTAGGGTCTTTTGAAACATCTGTCTACTATCAAACCAGCTAAGAAGCTTTTATTAACTAGTTGCACACTTATTTTGCTTACTGTCTGATGCTATTATGGCTGAAGTGAGAAAAAAATACAACTTATTATTGCGAAATCAAACTACAAGTTTTTGTTACATTAAGTTGATGCACCTGGTTAAGCTGTTGCCTTGGCTCAAATATGGAAATTTTGTTTCAGCAAGCCTGCCTTATGTTTGCTAGTACCACTTTACTTTATTGGGTTGGTTGATTATCTGACTTTGAGTAACATTTGTCTTATCCAGATCTCCGTGATAATTTTGTCTTCCGTAGAGGAGTGCTAGTGGAAGTTGACTATTTCATTGTCATGACATCATTTTTATACTTTTGGTGGACGAAGGCTTCTCCATTCCATTTTCTTTTGCTTTCCTTGGAACATTCAACTGATATTCTTGATTACCTATTGCTCATATTTATAATACTATATTTACAATGATAATGAATGTGATAATTTTCGATTCATTCGGTAAATATATTATAATTATATTATAATAACCTTGACAATAATTTTTAAGATAATTATTAATAAAACCCTTTTGACAAACATCAAATTGGGAGGGCACGATGAAACCTCCTGCCATGATAGCTTCCAAAACGAAGCCTGTTTCATTCCCAATGCAGGTCTTTAATCTGAAGCTTCATCATTGTATTTGAAATGGGTATGGGAAATAAGCAGGATATGCCAAAACTACGGAGCGTTTATTCCCGAAGAGGGCACAAACATTGGGAAGGTTTTGTTTAGAGTGAATTATTTTTTCCTTTCGAAAGAAATCCAACTTTTTTATTTTAGTCAACCTAAAATGTTATGTGAGAAATTCTTATCACAATAAGTAATCAAAATAATAAAAATTATAAATGTTGGTGATCAAATTTTACTTTTTAAAATTAAGTGATTAAAACAGAAAATTTTGAAGAATTCAATTAATGACTGAAAAATAATTTTCTCTTCTGAGCATCTTACGGGTTCTTCACATATCAACACCTGGATTAAAAAGGTTATTTTATTTTGTTTTATGCACATGCATTCTCTGTCTTGGCTGGCTTACTTCCTTAAATGTTGGTTAAATATTTTAGTAACATTAATTATCCTTCTTAATAATGACGAATATTTCATTCTTTTTCTTTATTTGTAGAATATTTTCAATCTTTGAACCCTTTCATAAGTAAAGGCACCGCATAAACAGAAGCGTAAATTTCAATACAGGAAGTTAAACTATTTGTGATTATAAAATACAATTAACCATTTTAATTAAAGAATTTTTTAGACAAATTTGAAAATCATCTTATCCAAAAGGTGAAAGGATAAAAATATTCATAAGGTGTCTCACTGAATTCGTATTCCTTGTTAAAAAATGATTAAGGAGTAAGATTTTTTTAGGACGATTGAGGTCTAATGAACCCTCAGATAATTTGACTGCTCACAAATAAAATAGAGATAATAAATGATAAATTCTTGAATATTTATATTTTTTGCGAGTAATATTGAAGCAATCATATTGTCGAATATTTTAGTATTTTTCAAATTCAAATATGTTTCTCCCTTTTATAAAATCATAATAACTTCAAGTCTAAAGCAGTAGCTTTTCTTTTTTTTATGAAATTCTTAGTTATTATTTTTTATTTTTATGAAATTAAAAAATAGACTAAAACCTCATTAAATGTTGACATGGTGATGCGCCACCATGATATTTTTGGAGTTTAAGAGTTTCCAAATTCATGGTATAAGGACAGCAACAATTCCCTTAAATCATGGAAATGATCTTCTCTCGAGGCCAGATTTGCTTTCCTCCTTTCCTCTGGACCATGAAACTGAACATGTGGATGATAATCTTCATCGGGTTCAAAGAAACATATATAACACATTACATCTCATTAATTGCAATAAATGCAAAATATCCTTTTATTCATATACAATTAAATAATTTTTATTTTATATTTTGGGCAATTGTATGTGTATATCCGAATAAAAAACAAGTATTTGAAATCAAGCCAATGATCTTATCTGCTTTACTATAATCCTTTGAGAGCTTTATGCATATTCTCGTGTGTGTGTGTGTGCATACATTAATATTTCATACCTTAAACTTATTTTAACAGTTACTATTCATATTTAATAGGATTGAGATTCAAGAAAAATTCAGAATTCAAAATCTTACTTTCTTTTATCTCTACACATGTAACTCAAAGAAAAATTAAATATCTAATATAACATATATAGTTCTTTTGCTATTGTTGAATTTACCAACTGTAAATGGTCAGGGTTAAATTTAAATATTTTTTATTATAATTATTTTATAGTAATATATTTTTATCGATCTCATATGTTGTCAATAGCAACACATTGACGGAACAAACTAAACAGACAACATGTAGAAGTGACAAACGCATAAATGCCTGTAACGTATGTGTATATACTTGCGAAAAATGAAAAACAATAACAATTTTGTTTTTTGAAAAATAAACAAAGAACATATACACACTTTAAACCTTGCCGCTTTCATCTTAAAATTCAAACTCGAATCTCTGTTCTCTATGAGTGTGCTTTCATTGTTCATATTGATTTGGAGTACATGAGAATAGATCAGAGTTACATTATGACTTTTGTACTTGGTTTGTTTACGCTTATGTTTGAGGGTACTGTACCATAAAAGGTTCACACAGGGAGTAGTTGCCCCTTAGATTCATAATCCAAGACGATAAACTATGAAACAGTCCAGCTAAGAGGGTTCCATGCTTACTACTAGTTTTATTCATTAGTAATTGCATCTTAGCTGCAATGTTATCTATAAACGCGTATTCCACCTCTTAGGGAAAAAAAAAAAAAACTGAAGGCAAAGCACTTACAATTAAAAATGCTACTTCACATATATAGCATACCAATATATCTTTATAAAAAGCTTCTACCTTGAAGCTTTTTAACTTATATTTCAAGGACTCTGATCAGTTGACCTTTTTGCTAATGAATAAAACAAATGTCCTTATAAACAAATGATTTATGCTGTCTGAATTACTACAAAAAAATGTTAATATTGGGGGGAAAATTGGTATTTTTTCGATACTAAACTTTCTAATGACATTCATAATCTAATTATAATTAACTACCTAGTATGACTCTAATTAAATACTATAATATATTTTATTAAAAGCTTAATACATTTTTTATCTTTACTCTTTGCTCTGCTATTAATTTGATGATCCAAGGCGTAGTGTTGGAGTTCTTTTTCCTTTTACTCTTTCTTTATATCTAAACAATTGTTGACATCGATATCAATTAAGTAATAAATTATCATTTATTCCTTTAAATATAATGAAGAAATTTCTTTTTGATATTGGATTTAGTACATCTCTCGAATAAAGGAAAGAGTTTATAGAAATGAACTAATTCATTTGGGATATTGATATTTGAAGTTGAACATCTCGTTAATGAAGAAAAAAGAGTTATCAATGTCACCATAGGCCTAATTGAGGTGGTAACAATAAAAAATTATCCACCTAAAGGTTTTCTGTTTGAGTCGTGCTGCTTTCTTTTGTAGCTTAAAAAGGAAAAAACAAAAGAAACAATTGTATATAATTTCGTATAGGTGATATACAATGTTGAATCTGATATATAATTATGTATTTATTATTTTTCAAATGTAAAATGGGATTTTCGAATTTCTTCTTGAAAGATGTTATATAAATTATACTAAATTTAGAGAACTATTTATACTACACGTAAACTAGATATGATAATCAATGATAATATAATTTTAATTAGTTGGTTTCATATTTAAATTAAGGCCTATAGTTTAGTAGATCCTATAATAAAGAGAAACCTTAATTCATGATCTCAAGTGATTTAATATTCTGTTCTAGTGACCAAATTATTGAGTTCAGATTCGAAAACTCTGGACTGGAAGTACAACAAAATCTTCAGCTATAGATGCAGCTATAGACTTTGCCAGATATATGAAGCACTATGCTAATCAAAGAGCCTAGTACTGCTAGATAAGATGAGCATGGGATCCTTGCCTGATTAACTTACAAGCCAGCATGAACCATAAAATTGTAAAGAAAACAGTAGAAATCCACGTGCACAAGTGAAGTTGGAAGGAGTGAAGGAAGCAACCTCCGTCAAAACTAGTTGCCAACTTCCTTGAAAGTGTGTGAAAAACTAAATAGCAAAATATGGGAATCTGATAGACGTGGGATGGAGAAAAATCCGCCGAAGCTTATGCTGCTTTGCATTCTTTTTCTCTGCTGTCTTCTTTTTTAATCTTCCAATCTATATTAACCTCTGCCAGCTAACAATCCCGATACACTCATATCATATCTATATAGTTTGCTAGTTCATTACATCTATGCAATACTTAATACAGATTTCTTGTTCCGATAAGTATAAGTATTTTCAATCCAATATTTAATTGCCCTTTCTTGTTTAAAAATGCAATAAAGCCCATCATCGTTAATATTTAATCCATTACTTTGAACCTCTACATAAATAGGCCCTTGTAGGGCTCTTGTCTTTCTGCATATGCCTACAGCTTGAACTAGTCCAAATAGTTCTAGTCTAGTTCTATTCACTCTCTCGATGGCACTTGCCAAGGACCCTCTCTGCTCAGTTCAAACCACTGCCTTTAGTGGAAACTTGTTGGGGGATGTTTCCTCCCCTGAGCCTTACAAATTTGAAGGAGGAGGTGGCTTGGAAAAGCCTGGTGGGGTTGTCAAGAATTTTTCCATGAGTAGTTCTACTTCATTTTCTTCTCCAAGCAGTGTGAATTCTGATGGTTTGGCGTTCCGGCCTGTGAACTATCACCCAGAGGAAGTTCATTCTTTGATAAACTTCAAGGGCAACGGGTATGATAACTTCATGAATGGGACTAATGGATCTCTGCTTAGCTTTGAGCAAAATGAGAGGGTTCTGCAAAACACTTACTTGAAAACTAGTAGTCACAAAGATGAGTACTCAATATGGGGGGGCAGTTTGAATCAGAATTACCAGTGGAATCAGGCGAATCCGAAGAGCAGTACCGATCCTCGAGTGGTGGAAGATTTCAGCTGCTTTGAAACTGCTAGCAATTTTAATTCCATGACAAGTGCTACAAAAGAAAACCATGGGGATTGGTTATACTCAGAAGCAGCTGTAGTTGCTGATAGTATCCAGGAGTCAGGATCACCAGAAGCAGCTGGCCTCAAGCGTCCCCATACGGTAATATTCTTCTTTTCCAATCAAACCAAGTAACAAATAGTCAGTTCATTTAAGATAGCTTCTGATTTGCTGCTGACAAAATTGTTTATAGGGAGAGAGCAATCAAGCTTTGAAGAAACAATGCTCCAACGAAGCTAACAAGGCAAAAACTAAGTCAGGACCATCAAAGGACCCTCAAAGTATTGCAGCCAAGGTTTCTTGCGATCTCAAGTGGACTTGTTTTTTCTTTTGAGAAAGTTTGATTGCAAATTAAGCAAAACTAAGAATGAATAATAACATTGAGAGAATGTCTGTTACCCAGAATCGACGTGAGAGGATCAGTGAGCGGCTGAAGATACTACAGGAACTGGTACCCAATGGCTCCAAGGTGAGTCACTGTTACTACTGATGTGATATTTCAAATTGCAATTTGTTTATAGTTAAAGCTGGAAATGATCTTTATCCTTGTCTTGCACAGGTTGATCTGGTTACCATGCTGGAGAAAGCCATTAGCTACGTCAAGTTTCTTCAGTTGCAAGTGAAGGTGTGATTTCAGCTTCTGATCATTGATTTATTGATCTTTGTCTATTAGTCATCAGCCTGAATTAATCATAGAGAGTTGAGAGTTGATAAGTGGGGCGATTTTAGTTACAATTGTATTGTGATTTGTGATGCAGGTGTTGGCAACAGATGAGTTTTGGCCTGTCCAAGGTGGGAAAGCTCCCGATATTTCTCAAGTAAGAGAAGCCATTGATGCTATACTCTTGTCTCAGAAAGACAGGAATTCAAGCTCAAAGTAAGTGGTTGTGGAGAAGAGACTTAAATTTAGAATAACGTACTATAATTTAAGGACAACTTTCCAGGCAAAGAAAAGGTTTGTTTTGGAAGTTAGTGTTGCTAAATGAAAGAAAGAAACAAAAAAAGGAGAATCTGAGTAGATAGTCTAATTTCTTAAGATCTTGTAATGGAAATTTTCTTTTCTTTTATCTAATTTGAACCAAGATGTTCAACCTTATCTTAGTTTCATTTCACAGAGAATCTGTCTATTTTGTATTTTTCCTTTTCTTTACATGTCAGGCTTGTACTATTCGTTAATTCTTAGATCTAAACAATCTGACAATATAGAGTATGGGTTTTCTGTTTTACTTCTTTTAAAACATTGCCAATCCCATGTATCTGTTTTCCTCTTTAATGGGCAAAATATATTCATGCAGACCATCACCGGTTAATCACACTGATCTCGATAATAAAAACATTGTTAGAATAAAGAAAAGTCTAACATAAATTTCAAAACCTGCCACCTACTTGAAATTGATCAGCCAACTGTACACAAATAGCAGAGCTAGTGGCAAGTGTTTGGCCAAATTAGCATTTGAAAAAAAAAGAAGTCAATAGCAGAGTTGGAAAAGTTTGCCTCTGCATACTGTACAATGGACCCTGGAACAAAACTGATTCATGCTTCTCTCATTTATTACTCTCCAAGGCCACGTCAGGCATTGGTACACCATTAAACAGAAAATACCGTTTCTTACCCTGGAACTTTTTAACATCAATTTTTCAACACCCAGAAGGTTTTTGAAGCATTTTCCTACAATAGCTGATGGCATTGCATGATAGCAATGTTGGATGTGGAATATCTAGTACACAACTATTTGCTGCAGGAATTATTCCACTTCCTTTGGCCTCATTCTGATTCTGATATGAAAATTTTTGGCCGAATGGCGAATTAAGTAATGTTCCAGATATTAAGTATTTAGCAAGTTATTTACTGAATGTACATTATCATTCCAAATGCCTTCATGCTGAGACATTCATTAGATTCCCTAAGAGTTTTCGTAGGCTCTGCTTGAACATTTTTTAGCAACCAAATGGTTCTGCATCTAGATAACGTGCTAAATTAAATTGTTTGCAAATTAAACAGATCTTTACCCAGTTTCGGTTCCGTTTGTTGGGTTTGGCTTATCGGTTGTAATTACTCTTGAAGGGTTAAGGTTCAGGGTTCAAATCCTCTCCATCCTTTGACCTTGTTTCTTCAATTGTATCCATAAGGAAAACAATGTACATTCATCATTGTATCGTGCATGAAAATCTGAAGAATCTCCTCCAGATGTCTTAACTTTGTTAATTAACAGTGTTGAGCGCTCGGCTAGTTTTCTCAAAGAAGGGGACCATCTGACTCGATGTGATATTTAACATGGATTAATCACATGCTGATCCCGCTTAAAGTGGAGCATCAATATTCTACAAGAGAGCTCCCTTAGTTTCCTTGTTGAATGGTTGGCTTTTTCACCTGTGCTGTTTTTAAGTAAAATAAGATTCACATTTGTACATACTTTTGTTAAAACTAAGAGTAATCTGTAAGCAAAATCGAAAGAATTAACATAGTAAGCATCCAGTTTAACAGCTAGCTAGTCTGCATTAAACCAAAAAGATTGAGATTTATTTCACAACTTTAGCTAGTAATGCAAACTAGTACCAAATTGCATAATTCTACAAAGGAGGCCTGGTTCTTGGTTGACATTTGAATTGGGGAAGGTTCCTCAATATTTCTGGACAATGGAGAATGAGATAACATTAAGTATGTCCCTTATCATAGAATTGAAAATAGAAGGTCATGTGAGGTTGAAGAATGGCAGGGTGGATTTTTGATGTGGTACAATTTAATGACTCAAATAATTGGACTTAAATTATAAGGGTCGCTGTTAGCAGCTTGCACGCGTTCCAGAAATCACACAGTTCTGAAATCTAAGTTGTAACGAAGGGAATTGAGTGGTTCAAGTCGAAGGCAGCCTGAGAATCAAAGAGATATTGCATGTTGACAGCTTTGAAGACAAAGCTTACAATCAAAGCTGTTTTTTTATTATTATTTGTCTTGCCAAGCTTTTGGAACATGGAAAACAGACTAGTATGGGGAACTATTCAGTGTTTAATAATACTATATATGGTGTGATGTGGGAATTTGGACTTGAACTGTCTCATGAATGAAATGATGTAACATAAGACCCAGAGTTTGAGTTTTGATCATTCAATTCCTCAACTAACCATCTGACTTCGTAAATATACCCAAATGTCAAAATTACAAGGTTTTGAAGGCTCACATCGGTTAATATAGAATAGCCAGCAAGTTGTAAAGAATCAATAAGACATTTAGGCATCAGATGCTAAAGCAAGCACACGCTCACTTTTTTGGCATCATCGAAAGACTTGAACCTGAAAGTATCACAGCCAATGTTTCCTTTAATCACAAGCAACCTAATTTTTTAAGATATTGACAACTTTTGATTGCAGATTAAGTAAGTGATCGAAAGAATGTTTGCCTTTCAGATGCATAACCAAGGAGTTTCAAGTGGATTAAGGTACTGCAGGCACCAAACTACAAGCTTTATTGCTGGTGTGTTATTGTTTTTGGCACTTGCTTCTAAAAAGGACAAACTATTACTGTTCCTTCACTTAATAAAGCTAGTTAAACTCCTTATGTACTTTTAAGATTGTGTTTCTGATTGATTCATAATATACATGGAGGATCAATTGCACTACAGATCATAAAGGATAAAAAGATTTATGAGAAAGAATAAAATTTTATATGTACATACGGTCTGTTTTGCCTAGTTTTTGGAGCAATTTTCTAACTCTAGAAAGCATAAGTTGGACAAAATCTGATATCAGAAAAAATAGTTTTTAGCTTCTACATTAGTTAAAAAATTTTCATGTACCAATTTTTCTCTTTTTTTTTTTTTTTGAAAAAAAAAATTTAACCGTAAGCAGCAGCAGCGCATATGCCTGCTTTCAGTACATGATTGGTAGCTTTTTGCCCTTTTGGCAGCAGATGTGACCGTCCGTACAATTTTGTTGCACTTGCTTTGCTAAAATGATTAGGCAAAACATAACTTCAGATGGTCAACTTGTTAATTAAGTTTTCCATCTTTCTTGAGGAAGTGGCTTACTGGGGGGCCATAACCAGCTGCTTTAGTGTTTAGCAAGAATCACGTGTCTAATCACATGCCCAATCCCATAAGACCCGGTATGCATTTTCCCATACAAACTCAGCCAACTGAAAATTGCTTTTAAATTGCATGCTTTTTTCCCAGTTAAGTTTTTGATTGAAGGGTAGTAGTGAGCTTCCACACTTGTTATTATTATGTTGATGTTGACCATCATAATGTCTTTCCTCTCACCTACTGCTATGTGTTCATAAACTTTTCCTCATTTTATTCCATGTGTATGAATTTTCGATTATTCTGTTCATGAACTTCCATTAAGGATAGCTCTTTGAAACTCCCAAAGATGTTTTAGTTAATTTTATCCTTTTATCATAAAATATATAGTTCATCATGCACTTCCAGCTTATTCAATATATATATATATATGTCATGTAAAATATTAGTTTTTTTTTTATGTTTTATGAATAAAAAAAGCATTGCTTATCTTGATTTTCATCTTCCAAATAATCAAACTGACCACTTGATTTCTATTACCTTCCCTTGCATGTATCTGTCTTGGAATTCCATGCAATTATTTAAATTAAGGAAATAATGATGTGTCTCTCCTAATTAGACAGCCACAAAAGCATTCAAAATTCTTTTGTTTTCCCATTTGACCAATGCCAATGATTGATTTCTTGTCTATCTGACCATGAACCCAGCTATCAAGTTGCACCCAAAAAGAAAAAACAAAAATGAAATTCAACCATAATTAATCAAATAAAATGCCGAGTGTCTGATAATTTTTTAGTTTTTACAACTTAAAATCTGATTACATGATTGGCGATTTCCACCTATTTAACTTAATTTAATTTTATTTACTCTAAATTTAAGAGTTCATCTTAGAAGTTTTGGATGTAAATTCTAAGATAGATAAAGGAATATGATTTATAAAATAAGAGACAAGAATATTTTTTTACCTCCAATGTGAATATCGTTATGGACTGATCCATGAGCATCAAAATAAGTAAATCAATTAAACAAGGAGACATAGGATTATTGCAGTCTCTTGTCTGCTTCGAATTGACAACAAGAGATTTCATTCATATATATTATAATCTTTCTCATTCTACTTGATAATATGTACCCCTAAACCGGCATCATCATTTAATTTTTCTAAGTTTATTATATACACCGCCTTGCATTAGACAGCCACAAAATTGTTAATAATTACGTGGAAATTAATCTATTTATGATCTAAATGCTCCTTCAGCTTCTAATCAATTTTCTTGAGGATTAATGTTGTGAAAGAGATTTCCAAAACCCATTGTTGGAAGAAAGCTTTACGTTAATATATTACAACTGGGATTTGGGAATTTACAAGAAGCTGTTAATTAACGAAGTAATTTCCTTGTCATGCATAAGTTGCCCATGTGGGCTTAGCAAAAGGCAGGGTGGATGGACATTTTTTTTTCGTCCTTTCTGTAGGTTTGATTGAACTTAATTGTATATAGTTTTAATGAAATGGGATTAATTACTGGCTTCCCACTTCGAAAATTGTTGAAATATAAAACATAGTGAGCATGCAGCTTGACCACGTGCAAGAATGATAGATGACGTTATACCTGATAGAGCTGCTCCAAATGGAATTGAAAAGTCAAGATTCCAATTATTGATGAATGAAAGATATTTTCTTGACAAATAAAGAAACGCAATTTCTTGTCAGAACTCGGACCTAATTGTTTCTTTCTAATTCTACCAACGTAATGATATCGGGAACTATCTGAATCTTAGCACAATATATATTTGGGTAATAATGATAGGCTGGTGCAAAATTAAAGTTTGAATTTATGGAATTATTTTTTCCAGAGTAATGCTAC